CAGGCCTGCACCCTCATGCCCAGCTTGCCTGGTCTTCCCTAGTGATTAAACCCAAGGCTGTGGTGATGCACATCTACAATCCCAGCATTGGAGAGGCTGAGGCAGGAGGATCACTCCAAGTTCTAGGCCAGTCTGAACTACATAGCAAGACCCAGTCTCAGAAAAAAAACCCAAGGCATCTGGGATCCCAGGCAGGCTCAGTGGATCCACCACTGAGCCATACCCCTGCTGTTTTCCAGTTTGCATTATTCTCCTGGACTCCGTTGGCATCTGAGTTTGTGACTCCTGAACTAGTCAAATGAGTTCAATTCTCCTTCCTTATACAAAGGGGAAACTGAAGCCCAGGGAGGAGCCAATCCTGATCAGGAGGGCAGAGCTGGAGGCAGGGGTAAGACCACCAGGAGGCCCAGGGCTGTTCCTCCGGCTTCTGCCCGCAGGCAGAGGTAGGAGGTGGAGCCCCTGAAAGGACCAAGTCCCCAGGTCAGGATAGACCTGGTCCTGGGTCCTGGGGAGGAAGCAGGGCAGACAGAAAGGGAGGAAGTGGCTCTGGGAGGGGCTTGGTGGCCAGCCCTCAGCTGGGGCTATCTGCTCCAACAGGCAGGGAAATTCTTACCATTCCAAGGCCCTCCCTCCACTCCAGCCTGTCTGGGCTGGATCCATCCTGGGATGCGCCTGGAAATGACACCACACACAACCGCACTCATTCATCCTCCCCAGCACCCCCATAGCTCCATTTCTGCAAAGCCTCCCTCCATCCCACACTTAGATTTGAGATGAGATGGTCCTCAGTCACTGTCATGTAACTTGGCTGCAATTGTGTCTTTCTCGAATGTGGGTAATAATACTCAGCCCATAGTGTTGTTGAGAGGATTAAATGAGATACTAAGAAACTGCTTAGCACCAAAGCCTGGCGTAGCTATAGTTGTTGCTGTTATTTTTACCCACCTTTCTGGGTTCTCTGTCTATCTTCCTTCTTTGTGACCCTGTCCCTGTCTCTCTCTCTCTCTCTCCCTCTCTCTCTCTCTCTCTCTCTCTCACACACACACACACACACACACACTACACATGCATGCATTCACTGCAACTAGCTCATATGCTGCCCTAGGTCAGCTGATCAGCCTGCCCTCACAGCCCTATCACCTAGATGAAGAGAATGCGGTATTTACACACAATACATTACAATTGTGCCATAAAGTAGTAGCAGTGTTTTTGTTTGTTGCTAAGCACATGCTCTACCACTGAATTACATACCCCTAGACCACACTTTAATGCCAAAGAAACAAGTTAAATTAATTTTAAAAGTATATCGTATTTAACCCAGCCTACCGAATGCTATCATTTTGACATGGAATTAATATGAGGAAATTATCCATGAGGGATCTTCCAATTCTTTGCTTTGTACAAAGGTCTTCAGACGCCCCAGTGTCTCCCACACTTGTGGCACATTCCAAGGACTCCAAAGCCACTTGAAGCCGCTGGCCAGTATTGGGAGCATAGTTTAAAAGTCAAAAACCAAATGACTCACTCTTCTAACATTCCAGCGTGCCAGGCCTCTGAGGCCCCAGAATTCTGCAGCACACTAAGGTTTTGGAATACTGCAACTGTGGTTCCACCAGATGAATGTTCAGTGTACCCCAAGACTGCTTGTGAAGCCCCTCCCGTGTCTCTGTATGGAAAGAAGTCTGGACCCATGCAGAGTCCTGGGGTAGGAGGGAGCAAGGAGCCCTCGCCCCCACCATCTCGCCCAGCCTGGCAGAGAAGGGGGCACTGCCCCCTCCAGAACTGTTCCCCCAGCTCCTCGGATGTTCTCAGTCCCTGCGCACCAGACAACTTCCTCCAGAGTCCTCCTGGGGAGGGGCATGGCCCTCCTCCTCCCCTTGGTCTTCGTTCACTTTGGAGAGTGTCTGGGGCCTGGGCAGCAGATGGAGTTGGGGAGTAAAACCCCAGATGGGCTCCCTTGAGGGTGGGACTGGTCTCCATTTGCTCTGGGCTAGAGCCTGGAGACCTGGGAGGGCAGAGGTCAGGGGCCCAGTGGGGCTTGGAAGGCCACAGGCCACTCTGAGGGCAAATGCTACAGGCCTTTCACAGTGCAGACAGTGAAACCAAGACCCAAGAGCAGAGGGGTTTCCCAGGTGAGGCACAAGGTGAGCGATGCACTCTGCCAAGAGGGACACCGGGAAGCCATGAGTCTCCTCTTCCTGTACCTGCCCCAGCTCCCTGACCTTCCTCTGCAGGTGGGAAAGTCAGGGAGCAAAACTGACATGGCAAGATATCAAGAAAGCTGCGGAAGCCAGGCGTGGGGGCGCTTGCCTGTAATCCCAGACTCAGGAGGCTGAGGCAGGAGGATTGATGCAAATTCTAGGCCATCCCGAACTACACAGCAAGACCCTGTCTAAAAAAAGAAAAGAAAAGGCTTGGGGAAAACCCAGAAGCACTGTGTCTGAGTGCATGCCTTCTTGGCTTCAGGATGTGTCTCAGTGCACTTGTGCTGTTATAATAAAATATCACAGACTGGATGGTTTGGGGTGTTTTGTTTTGTTTTGTTTTTTGTGGTACTGGGGATTGAACTGAACCCAGGGCACTGACTCTGAGCTACATCCTCAGACCTCTTTACTTTTTTATTTGGAGACAGGGTCCCACTAAATTCTCAGGTGGGACCTGAACCTGTCTGTCACCCTCTTGTCTCAGACTCCCAGAATGCTGGGATGACAGGCATGTGCCGCTGCACCCCGCTAGAACTTTGTTTCTCACAATTCTAAAAACTGAGAGATCTAAAATGAAGGCTCCAGCAGATGCTATACCTGACCAAAACCCAGCTTCTCACTCCTGGCTCGTGGGTGGCATCTTCTCGCTGTGTCCTCAAGTGGCAGAGGGCCATAAACGAGTTCCGTTGTTCTAGTCATGAGGGTATCAATGCCTTCGCCTCCCAATCACCCACACATGCTTCCTAAAGCACCTCACTGGGGTTGGGTTGCCATAGAACGGCCGGGAGCACACAAGCTTTCAGATCACAGCAGAAGCGTCCTCGGGAGAAACCGTCCCTGGCTCCCTCAGTCTCAGACGTCAGTTCTGTCAGGGGCCTGGACACAGGAGGCAACTGGGAAAGGCACCAAGCTGGAGCTGCGCGCTGCACCGAAAGACTCTGTTCATGAGGACCGGCTTCCCCGTCTGCGCCAGCCCTGAGTCCCACTCCAAAGCCCCGGCACAGCCCGTGTGCACCAGACCCACACAAGCGCCCACAAGGAAAGGCGGACAGAGCCCCCCCTCAACACGAAACTCCCAGCCCCAGCGCCACGCAGAGGGATTCGTCACTGTCCCGGGTTACAGGTGGGAAGCTGAGCCCCAGAGGGGCTGCGACTCTTCTCTGTGCACAGAGCCAGAAGGAGGCCGGTCTAAGTCCCGAATCCCAGGCTCAGCCCCCACCCAGGAAGCCCTCTCTGCTCAGAGCACCCGGATGCGAGACAAAGGTCAGGAGACCCCGCAGCCACGTTTTCCACTGGCTGCTTCCAGGCCGCGCTTCCCCTCTGAGGAAAGCCCCAAGGTTGTCAGGGAGGAAATGACAAAGATCCTGATGTGGAGGGCGACAGAAAACAGCTCAACTTTTAGCCTCTGCGGATCCGGCTCTGCCAAAGCAGCGCTGGGAGGAGGACAGGGCCCATCGGGAAGGTAGACCTGGAGCCCAGCTTTGGCAGAGCGCAGAGCGAGGGGACCTGGGCTCGGCTCCCAGAGCTGCTCAGGGCCTGGCGTCTGCGGCTTCCCCGGTCTCCCCCTCTGTGGACCCAGTCGCAGTAGTGAGGATCTGAACACATGGCGAAGCCTTTAAATGGTGACTAAATGCTAGGGCTTACTCTGCCATCCTAATGCGCCTCCAGGAGCCCATCAGATCCTGACTGCCAGCCGTGTAAACAGTCATTGAAAGAATGGATGAATGTTACCAGCAAAACTATAGCAAAATACCGGAAATGGCTTTAGACTACAAACCTGACAGACCATCACCGCCACTTGCTGGGTGGCTCCCCGCCTCACTTTTTCTTTTATGATTGTTTTGAGACAGGGCTGTGGCACAGCCCAGGTGTGGCCCGGCCAGCCTGACCCCATGGTCTGCCTTATCCAGAAGGGATGGTGCTGAAGGCCCCTCAGCTTCCCCTCTGATGTCTCAGGACTCTGTGGGGGCCGAGGTTCCGCTTCTCAGTCTTCCCAAGAGCTGTGGAGCCTCCTGCAAACCCGCCTGGGGAGAGGAGCTGGCACTGAAGTGGGCCTTTTGGCAGCCACTAATTCTCTGCAGCTTCCCGGCTTCTTCCTGCCCCGCGGCAAAGCAGGAAGCAAGGCCACTGGGAATTCTGGCTCCTGCCACTTCTTCCTCTCAGCTCATCCTCCTGCCAACCGGCCCAGCTCCTGGATCTTCCTCCTCTCATCCAACCCCGGACGTGAGCTTGACGCACTCGACTTGGGGCCGCAGGGACTGCCTGTTCTATTCTTGAAAGGGCTGGTGGGCGCTGTTCTTCCTGAGTGGGCAGATTTGGAGAAGGCCTAGATGAGGAGAGAGCAGGGGCCGGGATGCGGAGCCCCTCCCAGTGCACAGCGGTGTCCCAGGCTCCCCGTGGTGACTGCGCTGCCTGCCCTGACCGTCCAGAGTAGAGAAGGGTCAGGCTGCTATGGTCTCAACTGAACCGAAGAGGAGTCGGAGGCCCAGGAGGATGACGGGACTTGCTCATGACTATGTAGACTCAGGGCCAGAGGTAAATGTTTACCCAAGCCTCCAGAGACTGTCAAAGAATAATAACTGTTATTATTACTGCAAATATTTACCAAGCTCTGACTCTGCCAAGAGCGTTCCCTTCATTACTTTATCTAATCCTCGCAACAATTAATTGGTGGCTCTCATTTCACAGATGAGGAAACTGAGGCTCAGAGAAACAAATCACAGGCACCAAGTCCGGTTAGCCACGTCCACTACTCAGTGTCAGCGTCACATCAAGTCTCTCAGGCTGCAAGGCCCCATGCCCAGGGTGCGGGTTCAGGCCTGCTGCACACTCAGCAATGCCACAGGTTGGGGGCCGCCAGATGGGGCCACATTTGGGGTGAAAACAGTCAGCAGCAGCCCCAGGTCTAGGCAGTGTGGACCGAGACACCCCCGTCAAGGCGCTCCACACAGATCATTCACCCACTTGTTCCTTCACCCACCAAACACAGCTTGGCAGGAGCCCCAAACTTCTACATAGACACGCACTTATTTTGCCAGCCTCCCGTTGAAGGCCAGCTACATACTTTGTGGGGTACAATGCAAAGTGAAAATGCAGAGTCCTTTGTTCAACAATTAAGAATTTCAGGGCTAGGGATTTAGCTCAGGGGTGCCACGGCCTGCCTCGAAAGCTCAAGGACCCAAGTTCGATCCCCGGTACCAAAAAAAAAAAAGAATTTCAGGATGGTTTCACTGGTATGTGCCTGTAATCTAGGCCACCCTAGAGGGTTAGAGAGGAGGATTGCACATCTGAGGCCAGCCTGGGCAACTTAGTGAGACCATTTCAAAAATTAAAAAAAATAAGGGCTAGGGATGTAGCTCATGATAGAGCACCCCTGTGTTTGATCCCAAATACCACAAAATAAAGAGAAAGAACGTCAGGACAGCAAGAGCACAGAGACCTGTAAGACCCCATTGGTTACGCAGGGACCCAGCTCTGGCCCCTGCCCATCTCCACTTAGCCTCCCAGCTACCCCCGGGCCATTCTCCCCATCCAGAAGCTTCTCAGCTTTTCTTTCACCCTGCAGGGCTCTGCCCAAAAGTCACCGGCCTGGTCCCCCCCCCCAGTGCTTCATGAGGACCCTATTCATTCCCGTCACGGGACATTGTACCATGTCAGTTTATGGTTTAATTCCATCTTCCCTGCTAGAATGTCCACTTTGGGGAGTGGGATCCCCGTCTGTGCTGTTCAAATTCGTACAACAGTGAATGAATGAATGAGCAGACACCCTCACAGCACACATTCTCCCACCCCTGCAGCTCCGCCCACTCTTCCTCTGCAACCCAGACTAGCACAGCGCTGTTCCCCAGTCCCAGCACCCAAGATACCCTGGCACAGACGGCTGGGGTCACCAAGGGGGGCAGGCAGGCCCCAAGGCTCCAAAGCCAGAGGACGAACCGGCAAGGTCTAAAGCAACAGAAAGAAGGATAAAGAAGGAAAAGCGGGTGAGGGAAAAGCCAACAGCAGGAAGGAGAGAAGAGGCAGATGGAGGGGAGGACAAGTTGAGCTCGGTGATAATCCCATTTCTTCGCTTTATTAGGGAACCTAATTATTACTATTAATACCTGGCCCCTCCCTGGTCCTTTCATCCAGGCTGGGGGAGAGAGTTGAAGATGAAACACTGGGGGGCCCTCAGATGCAGTTTCCTGGGCTTCACAACCACCAATTAAGCTTAGCAGCCCCTCCAATTACCAGGGCCCCTGGGGGTGTGGGGCCTCTGGCCTCAGTGCCTTTCCAGGTGGAAGCTGGCAGGTGGCTGCTCCCAGAGCCTGGCCCTTGGGTGAGATGCTGGGTTGCTGCAGTTGGGGGTGGTACTGCAGCCAAGACAGGGAGGGGAGAGCCCGAAAGAGAACCCCAGGCCAGGTGGCTGCAGTGCAGGAGTCCTGCCTCCAGCTGAAATTACAGCCCCGTCCGGAGGCTGCCCCCACCTCCACCCACCCCAGGGTCGGTGAGCCTTTAGGCCCTACCAGATGGCTGTGGGGGAAGGGGCCCTGGGAAAGGAGGCCCCAACCAGACAGTCTGCTTGTCCAGCTCCTCCCCATTGCCCCAGGGTCCCCCTGGTGTGGTCAGGTTCTGCTTTGGCCTCCGATCCTCAGAGAGGCCTCTCTGCTCTGGCACTGCGACCACCATCGCGGCCTCCCTGAGCACCAAGTGAGGGCCTCACTGCCTCCCACTGTGGAGCTGCCCAGACTTGGGGCGGGGGTGTCTGAAGCAATCTCATCTAATCCCTCAGCATTAAATATAATCTAGAGGCTCCAAAGTGACATTAGCAGCCTTAAGATTTCCAGTGCGCTCCAGCTGCTTTTCCTGTCTTTCCCCTGGGATATAACACAGACTCAAAATAACCAGGCCTGGCCAGGTGTGGTGGCTCACACCTGTAATCCCAGCACTCGGGAGGCTGCCGTAGGAGGATCACCGTGAGTTCGAGACCAGCCTGGGCTACACGGTGAGTTCCAGGTCAGTCTCAACTACATAGTGAGACCCTGTCTCAAAAAACGAACAAACAAAAGAACCAGGGCTGAGCTTGACTCCAGCCTTTCATCTGAGCCATGGCCTGCCCCAGGCTACCCAGCATGGTAAATAGTTCTGTTGATTACTCATGGCTCAAATCTGAATCTAGAATCATCCTCACCCATGTCCAACTCATCTGAGAATGCTACACACCCTGTTTCCAAAGTTTCCCTCTAATCTATTCCCAAATCCTTTTTTTTTTTTTTTTTTTGGTATAGGGGATCCAACTAGGGTCCTTGTACTAGAGAGGCGGGCGGCGGAACCACTGAGCTAAATCCCTGGACCCTTATTTTGATTTTTGAGATAAGGTCTTGATACCGTAGTCCAGTCTGTCCTTGAAGGTGATCCCCTAGCCTCAGCCTCCCAAATGCTGGAATTACAAGTGTGCACCCCACACTGGCTGCACGCCTGCCACCTTGGCCCATGCCATATCACCCCTCACTTAGGTTAAACATCTTCCCACCCGTATTTCCACTCTTGCTCATCTTCTTTCCTCTTTTTTTGTGGGGGAGGCACATGTTGAGACAGGGTCTCACTATGTGGTTCTGGCTGGCCTTGAACTCACTACAGCCTAGGCTGTCCTCAAAGATGTGGCGTCCCCCTTGCCTCCGCCTCCCGAGTGCTGAGATTACAGGGTACCCCTTCTCCCACTGGTGTCTTTAAAAGTTCACTCTGGCTTTGGAGAGTCAGCAAGAGGCAGGGCAAGAAGCACACCTTTGTAATCCCAGCACTCCGGAGCCTGAGGTAGGAGGATCCCGGCGAGTTCAGAGCCAGCCTCAAAGAACCAAGAACAGATTAAAAAAACAAAAACAAAAACAAAAACTTTTAAAATCTCCCCCCCAACCCCCGCCGGCCCAAGCGAAGTAATCTGAGTTTTGGGGATGTGCTGGAGCACGGAAGTGTGTACACCGAGGTCCTGCTCACATCGCGGCCCTACCCGGGGGAGGTCGGGACTGAAGTGAACATTTGCACACACGCACCCTGCCTTCCTCCGGACACCGACCTGCTAAACTGCCTCCTAGGGCCCTTCCCGCTCCTGCCAGCCCAGCCCGGCAGAGCCTCCCTGTGCAGCGCGGGCTCCTGGCGCCATCTAGCGGCCGCCCGGCGCGAGCAGGCGTCCTGCGCCCCTGCGCCGCGCTCGCTCGAGTGGGGCGGCTGCCCCGGGCCCCGCCCCTACCGTCCGCACCCCAAGGCGGGGCCCCCGCGGTCAAGGGGCGCGGAAAGAGCCCGGCCCGAGCCCAGCCGAGCGCGATCAGGGCCGCCCAGCCGTCGGCCTCGCGCCCCTCTCCCTGCCGGGCTCAGCCCATCCTCCCCAGGCCGAGGCCTCCGGAAGGCGAGCGGGCGCGGCCTCGGCCGAGCCATCCGGACCCGAGGGTGTGCGCGACTCACAGGGCCACGCCGGGCTGGGGACCGGCTCACGGCCAGGGCCCTGGCGTCCGCGAGCCCTCTCTAGCCACGGCTTCCCCTCCCCACCCCTCTTCCCTCTCTGTCGCTTGCAAAACCACCTTGCAGAGGGAGAAAACCGCCTGTGGGCGAGCAGCAGGCCCTGTTGCGGAGAAGCCGCGTTCGCGCCGGCTCGGCTCTGCTCTCCGTCCCTCCAAGCTGCAGGTTCTCGGAGCCAGCCGCTCCGATCTGAGGTCAAAAGTGTCGGCCCCGCAGTCAGACCTCAGACCGCTTGGACCCCGACGGCGCCCAGTTCCACCGCGGACCCTCTGCTGGCCTCCTGCGTCCTGTGGTGGCCGAGGACCCTCGGGGATGCGCGCTGCTCGCTGGGCACAGGGCCTGGCTGATGGCCGGGTGCGGGCGTCGCTGGAAACCGTGTTCAGTCCTAACCTCGTCCTGCTTCTGTCACCCCCACCCCTGGACTGTGGGGCCTGCGGGGCGCTAGGCCGTGCACTCGGTCTCTGCTGTCACCCCGCGCCTCCCAAGGCCACAGGCCCGCCTGGTCCTAGGAGCCTGCTCTCCCGCGGTACTGTGTAAGGTCTTTCCCTTTTCCAGAGCCTGTGAAGGGCGGGAAGGTAGCGGGAATGGGGAAGCCAGAGGACGCGGGGACGAGGCCGCTGCTCCTCATTCCTGCGCGCAGGCTTTGTCCCTCTCGTCCCTCAGAGGCCCCTGCTGTAATTTCATGTCGTGACATCTCCGGACCCCCGGGTCACACCCAGCCTTCCCCGAGGCTTTGCCCTGGACTCCTGCTCACCCGGTCTGTTGGGTTGTAACTCTTGGTCATTTCAGTCTTCGCAAAGACGATGCTTCCAAAGCCCAGCCTCCAGTCCCTTGACCTCTTCTTATCTAACCATCTTGTCCTTTTGCCCGCCACCCACGGCCACTCACCGTCCCTCACCCCGGGGCACTCCTGCTTCTGCTCCCCAGCTTCGGTGCCATGCGCAGTTCTATCCGTCTTTCCCTCACACACCCTCAATTCCTCTCAAGTTGTCTTTTCTCGACAAACTCACAACCTAGGTCGAATCCGGCCCCCGGAAGTTCAGTCGGGCTGCGGCCGGCGTCCATGCAGCTGCACTGGCTGCACCCCCGCCCCGGGGTGGACCCTGACTCTGCTCAGGAGCGAGCTCCGCATCCGGCCTGGTCTCACCTCAGGTCCTCAGTTCCTCGCCGCCTCTCGGCCGTGTATCGGGCTGCTGAGCCTCCTCTGCACTGAGGCTCGCGGAACGTGTAGGGACAGAAGCGGGTTCTGTGCCCTCTGTCCGAAGCCCGCAGCGCCGCCTGAGTAGAAGGGGCCGCGACACCTGCCCGCTCTCTGACCTCAACCTTACATCTACTTCCCGGCAGACGCCAGCCCTGCTCGGCCTGTGGGCGCTGAGATGCTGGCAGGTCTCCTCTCTCCGTGCTCCTGACCCCCTTCCGCCTATGCTACCCACCTCCTCGCAGCCCTCAGGAGACTTTTTTTTTATTTTGCTTTTTGCCCCACAATTTAACGATTTACTTAAAAAAGCGGACGTTCTTCTGCTGGTACTTTCTAGATGTACATAATGCTCACATTCCTCATAGGGAATTTGTACTTGTACATGGTATTTCTTTTTTATTTTATTGGTGCTAGGGCTTGAACTCAGGACCTTGCACTTGTGAGGCAGGCAGTGGCACCACTTGTACTTGGTGTTTCTATTTCTTTTTTTCTCCATTTCCCTCCCTTCCCTTCAACCCCTCTTCCTCTCCTTAGTTTCAAAAGCTTTGCTTCCATTTTCTTTCTTTTTCTTGTCCCTTCTTTCCTTTCCCCCTCCTTTCCTCCCTTTTCCCCATTTTCTTCCCATTTCTCAATATGTTATACATTTTTTATCTGTTATACATTTTAGTCTTTATTCACACTTTCAGTTTCTCACACTAGAGAGATACTGTGGTATTTATTTTTTTTCTCATTGAGTTTATCGGTACATTTTAGGTATACAGTACAGTTACATTCATCATTGGGATCTTGTACCTTTACATAATAGGTCTTGGTTCTCATTTTTTCCCCCAATAATGTGGCATTTAAATATGTGCGTCCCAGTTTTTTTTAACTGAAGATATGGTCTCAAGGTGCATCAATTCAGCTGAAAATATCTCAAGCTTATCCTTCTTTACAGCAGGGTTGTACTCCATTGTATTAAAACCCCACATCTTCTTTATTCGTTCATCTGTTGATGGGCACCTGGGCCAGAATTTAGCTATCACAAACTGTGTCACTATAAACATGGGTGTGCAGATGGTGCTTTCATAGGAAGCTTTTAATTCTTTCAGGAAGATGCCAAGAAGGAAGAGTGCTGCGTTAAATGGAACCTCCAGTTCCAGTTTCTTGAGGAATCTTCACACTGATTTCCACAGCGGTTGCACCAGTCTGCACTCCCACCGATGGTGAAGAGTTCCTTTTCCCCACAGCCCCACCAGCATTTGATGTTGGTTGATTTCTTGATAATAGCCGTTCTTTCCAGAGTGACATGGAATCTCAACATTCTTTTAATTCGCTTCTCTCGAGTGGCCGTGATGTTGAACATTCTTTCATATATTTATCTGCATTTCTTCATCTGAGGAATGTCAGTTCGTTTCAAATGCCCATTTTGGGGTTGAGTCTTTAAATCTGGGGGGGTCTGGTTTTTTGAGTTCTTTATTCTTGATATTAGTCCTTTGTCCGAGGAACAGCTGGCAAAATTTTTTTTACTTCGTTATGGGTTGCCTCTTCACTCTTGCTGTGCAGAGTTTTTAATGAGCTGAGATCCCAGTTGTTGATTCTTTGTGATCGTTTGTGTGCTATCAGGGTTTTGTTATAGAGCCTTTGCCTACACTTATGTATGCAAGAGTTTTACCAACCTATCTTCCAGGAGATTTAGCATTTCTGTTTAATATTTAGATCCTTGATCCATTTGATTTTAGTTTAGTGCACGGTGAAAGATGGGTTTAAGGGAATGGGGATTTAGCTCAGTGGGGCCTTTCAAGTGCAAAGTCCTGAGTTTGATCCCCTGAACCAGAAAGGAAAAAAAAATAGATATGGATTTAGTTTTAGTCTTTGGCACATAGAAAGCTAGTTTTTCTAGCATCATTTAAAAAATAATTTTATTGGTACATTTTAGGTAAGCAATACAATTACATTCATCATTGGAAATTTGTACCTTTCCCTAATATATCTTGGTTCTTATTTTCTAGCACCACTTATTAACGAGGTTAACTTTCTCTCTCTCTCTCTCTGTACTGGGGATCGAACTCGGGACCTTGCACTTTGAGGCAGGCACCAGCACCACTGAGCAATTTCCCCGGCCAAGGCTAACTTTCTTCCAGTGTAGGTGCTTCAGCCCCCAAGATTCTTTACCTTGCCTGTTTCTTTTTTCCACGTTACTGATCATGTTGTAACATAATAAAGGGCGAGCATGTGGCACAATCCTGTGATCCCAGCAGGAGGAGGCAGGAGGCTGGAGGAATTCAAGTTCAGCCTGGACTATGTAGTGAGTTCAAGGCCAGCTTGAAAAACATAGCAAGACCCTGTCTAAAATAAAACAGAAAAGAAGAAAAAGAGGTAGTCTTACTGTGTTGCCCAGCTGGCCCCGAACTCCTGGGCTCAAGTGGTCTGCTTGCCTCAGCCTCCAGAGTAGCTAGAACCATAGGCATGTGCCACCACATGCATGGCAAATGATTTTTGTTATTATTATTTCTTTGCAGTGCTGGAGATAGAATTCAGGGCCTCCCACCTGCTAGGCAAGCGCAGTACCGCTGAGCCGCACCTCCAGCTTCAAGTGTGTTCTGGCTTTTTTGGGGGGGCGGGTGCTGGGAATCGAACTCAGGACCTTGCACTTGCGGGGGGGGTAGAATAGGGGAGGGGTGCCACTGAGATAAGTCTCCCACCCTGGCAATTTTTTTCTTTCCAAATGTGTTCCTGAAAATTCTGTTTATGTTGTAAAGTTCTGGAGATAACCTAAACAGCCATCAACAGAGGATGAGGCAGGAGGATTGTAGTGAACTTGAGGCCAGCCTGGGCTACATAGTGAGTTCAAGGCCAGCTGAACTACTGGTATATGTGAGACCCTGTCTCTAAATAAATAAATAAGGGCTGGAAATGTAGCTTTGTGTGAAGGGCCAGGGTCCAATGCTCAGTTCTGCCCCCCACACACACATACACACAGGTCCTGAGTTTGATCTCTGGTACCGGAAAAAAAAATTCCAAAAAGCTGGGCATGGTGGCAAACACCTGTAATTCCTGGCACTTGAGAGGCTGAGGCCGGAGGATTGCTGTGAGCCTGAGGCCACCCTGCGCTAAGTAGTGAGTTGAAGGCCAGCCTGAATTACATAGCAAGATTCTGTCTCAAACAAACAAAAAAAAATCCTCCCAAAAAAGTTCCAAATAGCAAATACAATAGAATTTCATTGATATAAAATTATAGCTTATAGAATAAGGATATAGGTATAGACATAATCATAGTGGCATAGAAAGTTGTTTCTGAAACAATGCTGGTATGTCCTATAGTGATATCTCCAGAAAGCAGATTTCTTTTTTTCTTTTTTTTTTTTTTTTTGGTGCTGGGGATTGAATTTAGGTCCTTGCGCTTGCAAGGCAGGCGGCGGAACCGCTGAGCTAAATCCCCGGCCCAGCAAGCAGAATTTGAAGGTGATGTTTACTTTTTTTACACACCTTTGTGTTGTTGGGTATTTATAATGAGCATGGTTATATTTTTTAACCATCAGTGTAAAGCATTATAACATTAGTTTCTTTCTTTGGAAAGCCAGTCAGGGATGGTGGCACACATTTGTAATCCCAGCGCTCTGGGAAGCTGAGGCGGGAGCATCACAGATTGGAATTTAGCTTAGGCAATTAGCAATGTGTCAATTAATAGATGAAAGAAGCTGGTGATGTAGGTCAGTGCAGAAACCCTGAGATCCATCCCAGGTACCCCCCAAAAATCAATCAATCAAACAAACATAAAATCCCTTTCCCACACTTGCATGCATACATACGAATGACAAGTAACGAGCTATTAACGGGTAATAAGACTGATACTTCGTTTCTTCTTTCTTGTTCTCCTTTCTTCATGTTTCTGCTTTATGAGTTTTCTGAAATTGCTTTCCTACGGGAAAAAGGGTACTACATTTTCTGCTCTTTGTTTCGTTTTTGGAGTGCTGAGGATTGAATTTAGGGCTTTTCAGCAGGTGTGGTGGAGCACACCTGTGAACCCAGTACAAGGGAAGCTGAGGCAGGAGGATTGCCACGAGTCCGAAGCCAGCCTGGGCTATATAATGAGTGTAAGGCCAGCCTGAACTACAAAGCAAGACCCTGCCTCCAAAAAAAAAAAAATAAATACGTAAATAAATAAAGATGAGGGCTGCATTCCCAGCCCCTGTTTTAGATAGCATCTCAGTAACTCTGGGCTCGAAGTTGTGATCCTTAGTCTCTCAGGTTCTGGGATTACAGGTGTGCACCACCATGCCCTGTCTACGTGCTTTATGTGTGCGTGTGCCTGTGTACATAGGTATGTGTATTTTATCTACTGTTTGCAAAGACCTACTAGTCCTCCTTATCTCCATCCACACATTCGGTTAAAATTCCTTATCTGTACAAGAGAAATCAAGACAGTACCTATATGATAAGCCTGTGAAATGAAACATTATATTCAAGTTGCTTAGCAGTGGCCGGCATGAAAGTATCGAATAATTTATCTTGTTACACACACGTGACTCTAGAGGTTATGTTGCTGTCATTCCTCTCCGCGCCACGAGGAGCGCTGATGCTTCCAGGTTGCCAGGCCCGCAGTCAGGATGGCGGAAGTCTGTCTAGCCCAGGCCACCGCCTAATGCAGTCTCGCCTCCGCGGGTGTTTTTGCTTCGTACAGTCGCGCAGGTAAACTCGCTCACAGCGACACCCACCCCCTCTCTCTTTTCGTTCTCTTAAGTAGGCTGTGTTTGCCGAGGGTGAGTCTTAATCTTTTAGGGGATGATAAAGGCGGCGTCTTCCGGATGCACGCTTCGCCCCGCCCCATGACCTCAAAGGTACACTTCCGGGACAGGAAGTGACTCGTCGCCCCGCCCTCTCGCACCCTCTCTTTCCGGTAACTGAGTCTGGAGACACCCTGCAGGTAGGAGGTCCCGGCGCGACAATCTTACGGCATCCTTCTGCTGGGGGGACCCGGCGGGGCTGGGGGTGCGGGTTTGGAGTCCTTCTGGTCGGGCTAAAACCTGGGCGAGAGTCGCGCGGCCGGCTGACCCGGATCCGCCCGGTTCGGGATCGAGTTTGCTCCTGGTCTCTGAAGGTGGTCGTCAGGCGGAAGCGAGTGAAGGGATGAGTGCTAGTCCAGGCCTTAAACGCTTAATCCCGCCCTACGGCCACATTTGAGCGGCCGCACGCACAGCGTGGTTTGGGAGAGGAATGCTTCTGGTCTCTCCTCAGACCTGCCAGCTGCTTCCTGAACCTCTTTTTTAAATTTGTCTCGTGTGGAAGATAGGAATAACAGTAATTCCACTTCCGCGGGGTTGTAGTGTGGAGTCAAGGAGGTATTCTGGGACAGCTGTGGCCCTCTGTGGGAGCTCCTGAGGCACCCTGGGCCACGTTGCTGACTCGGGTACATTGCATGGTCTGCGCGCGCAAGGCTGGCTTAGGCCAGACATTGAGGGTAGGGGCTGCATGTATACCGCACGTGAACATTCCCCTCTTCGAGGGCGTTAGGCGCACACAAGTAGACCCCATGCAGAAAGTTTGATTAGCCGAAATCGATTGGTACTTTCCTAGGCTGCTCCAGAACTTGGGGCTTCCCTCCTGTGACACCTTCATTGCAGTACGCCCCCCTCCCCGTCATACTCCCTGACCCGATTGGAGGGTGGAACGCCCAAGACCTGCCCTGGTGGTGCATACTGTGATCGGGCACTGGCACGTAAGGGAGAGAGACACAGACTCTCACGTCTAGGGTAGAGGCTTCCGGTTGTAGAGCAGATGTAGTGCTGAAGTGGTTTTGTGTCTCATGGTCCTAGATGTGCTGCTTATTTTGTCTGCCCCATCCATAGGCATAACCTGATTTCATTTGAATCCTTCTGAAAACGTTAGGGAGTTCTTACACTTGAGCCTCAGGACTGGCGCTGTAGGCAGGAGGCACCCCTCCTGGTCGTCTGCGTTTTCATTCTCCCGGTCTTGCTAACGTACCTCTTTACAAGGTCTGACGGTATGATAGTACTTATTTTATAGGATGTAGCAGGTTATTTGGTCTTCTGGGGAGGGCTCTTTTCCATTAGGCTTCTCGGAAGCATGACTTAGTGCATATCATATTTGGTGCTAGTAAAAGTGGAAGGATTTGGTTCCAGCAGTGGTGGAAAGAAGTCAGGAGATGGGTTGCTGGAGGCGGGAAGAGCATTTAGATTGGCTTTAGAAGGGAACTGGTGGAACGAGGACTTGGGTAATGAGGCTGGAGGGCCGTGTTGTCTTGAACTCTGTGCTGAGGGTAGGTGTAGGATTCAGGCGATGAGGTTCTTCCCCTTGAATGAAGGGTCTTCAGACTACCAATCAATCCATGAATGGGTATTGGCCTTGACCTTAAGGTTTTGGAATATAGTCTTTAAGGTTTCTTCGGGCTTAACCTGTAAATGGCATCTGGGGGCTAGCAGGTCCAGATGCTCCTAGTGTGGGACGTGGTTTATGTGGACTGAGAACACTTTTGCCTGGTTTTAATCTCTGTTCTGCAACTCACTTGTTGTGTTACACTGCACGGATCAAATTTTCTTAGCATATATACAGGGAACAGTAAAGGTCAAAGAATTTTTCATTTTGAGCTATGGGGCTGTTGAACGCGGGGCCTTGACACTGAGCTATATCCTCAACCCTTTTGTGAGACAAGGTCTTGCTATGTGCTTTGGGCTGGCCTTGAACCCAGTAACTCAGGCTAGGCCACCCTCCTGCTCGGCCTCCCACAGTGTTGGGTTTTTGGGTGTGTAGCACCATGCCAGGTGAGAAAGTTGATTTGTCCACTTTTGCTAAACTACCAGTAGCGCGCTGGTCACCAGAGACCTAAGCCAGTGTGTTGTCTGCATTGTGGAGGCCCACTAGGTGAGAGTTAAGGGTGCTTGTGATCTGTTGTTAGAACCTCAGCCTTATCCCAAAGGTGCTGTGAGCTATGCTTTTTTTATAGTAGTTGGTGGAAAAGGGCTGTCTCACCCTTTTTTTGTTTTGTTTTGTTTTGTCCTGGGGATCGGACTTGGGACCTTGTGGACCCAAGGCAGGTGGCAGAACCACTGGGCTAAATCCCTGGATCCCATATTTTGCTTTTAATCAGCAGTTGACATCCCCCAAGTGCAAGGAAGATGGGTTTTAGTGGAGCAGAGATGAGAAAGTGTATAGCACTGTCCTGGGTGTGGAGGGAAGTAGAGACACAGGGAAGCAAAGCAGGTTGTTTTTGTTGTTGTTGTTGTTGTTGTTGTTCGTGGTACTGGGAATTGAACCCAGGGCTCTCACACTAAGCTACATTGCCAGTTTGTTTTTGTTTTTGTTTTTGTTTTTGGAGACAGAGTCTGGATGTGTAGTGCAAGGTGGCCTCTCGTTATAATTCTCCTGCTTCAGCCTCCATGCCCAGCTCTTTGTCCCTTTTATATTTTAAGAAAGTTTGGCTGAGTTATAAGAGCTAGGCAACTTTCAGTTACGTCTCAGCCTCCTAGATTTCCAGCATGTACTACCCCTGGTTAAAACAGGATCTCTTTAGTAGCCAAAGAAGGGGGGTCTGGAAACCTTATGACTTGTTAACATTGACCTTGTCCTTTCAGAAATGGCACCTCGCAAGGGGAAGGAAAAGAAGGAAGAACAGGTGATCAGCCTCGGGCCTCAGGTGGCTGAAGGGGAGAATGTATTTGGTGTCTGTCACATCTTTGCATCCTTCAATGATACTTTCGTCCATGTAACTGATCTTTCTGGCAAGTGAGTACCTGGGTGGGGAGGCACAAAATTCAGCTGGTAAAGGCAGAAGGAAGAAGTGACCCACGGACTGGATAGAGCATTTAGGGTTTCTCAGGAAACAGCAGTTACTGTTGTCCAGGGAAGAAAATATGCTCGCTTATTTTGGCCACGGATACTGTAACTTCCCACAGAGTGACCTTGTAGCCTTACAGTATGATTGTCAGCGAGTCCTTGATGTCAGTGCTTGGTGGCTGCAGTGTGGCCTGGAAGTCAACCCCAGGAGCAGGTTCTGACTGCCATTAGCAAGTTTTTTCTTCATTTTTGGAGTTTGTAGAGTAACCCATGAGGGTTAAATGTCTGTGTAAAGTGTTAATGTGGAGCTATATTAGGTGTTTGAGCCCCAGTAAACTGAGCCCTTGAAGGCAGCACTCCTGGCTCTTGTGTCCAGGATCAGGATCAGTGCTCGGCTGACCATTACCCTCTCATTCTGCGTTGTAGCACTCGGTGAATACTTGTGGGGGAATGAAGATAGCTGTGCTTTTGTTCCCAGGGAAACCATCTGCCGTGTAACTGGTGGGATGAAGGTGAAGGCTGATCGAGATGAATCCTCCCCGTATGCTGCCATGTTGGCTGCCCAGGATGTGGCCCAGAGGTGCAAGGAGTTGGGCATCACTGCCCTGCATATCAAACTCCGGGCCACAGGAGGAAACAGGTACGGAAGGTTGGAACTGGGTGGTGGTAGATGACTGACCTTGGGTGCCACAGCACTAGGATTTGAGTCTTGATTGCCTCTTGTGATCTAGAGCAAGATATTTTAGGCATATACAAGAGAAATAATTGGTTCGAGTGGTGGGAAAGAGCAGTCATGGCCTCTGCTCTCCTTGTGTGGCACCTAGGCTGGCAGAGTCATACTTACTGTGAAGCAGCCATGCACGTGTGGTTTCCACTTGGGGTAAATGCCAGGAAACGAGTTGATTTGGTGATGCCCTGTAATTTAAACGTCGGGCCAGGGCTGTAGCTCAGTGACAGAGCACTTACCTGGCATGCACAAGGCTCCACACTCAGGAGAACAAAGATTAAGGCCCACAGGATCAGCCAGGCGTCCTCCCGGTGGAGGAGCAGATGGGTGCGTATCCGTATCCTGAGGTGAGACTGAACGTGTGCACCCGTGAAGGAAGGAGTGCACGGGCGATCCGAGGAGCCCTGCTGTGTCTTCTGCTGTCAGTTTGCACACACAAGCTAGAATAGGTGGCTGCCGGGCGGGGAGCAGACCAGACAGGAAGCTGTTTGGTACTTTGCCGAGGTGGTGGAGTCTTGGATGAAGCAGCTGGAGAGATGACCTAGTTGCAGCCTGTGGTGGGAAGGGAAAAGAGCCAGGCTGCAAGCGTAAGGGGCAAGCAGATCCACATGCTAGGTTTGACCTGCAACTTGTTTTTGCATGTCTGGGCTGAGAATCGTTTTGGGTTTTTGAAAGGCATCTTTGTTGTCTTTTGGGGAGAGTAAGCAACAAAAGACATGATGCACGAGCCTAAGATATTTATTGTCTGGCCCATTACAGAAAGTTTGCAGATTCTCGAACCTGGGCAGTATGGGTTCTTCAGAATTCCCATTGACTTGGCTAAGTTAATCCTTCATTTTCTAGGACTAAGACCCCTGGGCCCGGTGCCCAGTCAGCCCTCAGAGCCCTTGCTCGCTCGGGGATGAAGATCGGGAGGATTGGTAAGTTGCCCCTTCTTAGCTAACACCTTGATTAACCTTGGAGTGTTTACCCCAAAAACCATGGTCTGTGCCCTGTGGGTAGAGGGTCTGGTCTATTGGCTGTTGGTAGTTAGGTTTGTTAAAGCCACCACAAGACTGAAAATCTCTGCCCGAACGTCTCCCTCCCTTCCCGGTGCTTCTTGCTAGTGTCTAGTGTGTCCGGAGCGTCTTCATCTTCCCGCTAGGCCATTTGGCAGCCCCGTCTCTGCCCACTAGACAGCAGGGCACGCCATCTGACGGCGAAGTGAAGGGTGAGCGGTGACTCCTCACATCTCTGACTGGGTCCTTCCAGCTCCTGGCTCTTAGCGCTTCCTTGTTTCTGTGCGGTTAATAGCAAGGTGCGCTGGCCTCTTGGTCTCAAGTTTCAACATCTCCTAATCTAAAGCTGAGGTATTTTCTGACAATTTTCACCTTTCACTTGTGAGTAGAGTTGGTGGACGAGAAGTCAGGGACCCTGCTGTCTGCCCTGCCTCTGAGTCCTGTGTGCTCTCAGGGCCTGCTTCCCCTTCCAGGAAGTGAGTCTAGGGGGGTTTTGAGAACCTAGCAGGAGCACAGGGGAGCTTCCCGTCCAGCTCCAGGCAATGATGTTTTCTCTTTCTCCTCACAGAGGATGTCACTCCCATCCCTTCCGACAGCACCCGCAGGAAGGGAGGGCGCCGTGGTCGCCGGCTGTGAGCAAGACTCAAGTTGTTTCTGTTAATAAATGACCTGCGTGTAGGCTACTTCGGCACTGGTCTGGCCGTGTGGTATCTGCTTCCTTCCCCCTGTCTGGGTGTGAGGGAGGCCTGGGCTGGCGCCATCAGGCTGTGCTGCTCTGGCGTGTGGAGGGCCTGGGAGGGGATGCCTGGCAGCACCGCTGGGGCACCAAGACGCCTCCACGGTCCAAAATAGAGCAAGGCCTTTGAGACCTCTCTGAAAGTGGAGGTGTTGGTTCTAAAAGTGGACTGATTCTTAAAGAGCCAGAGCAGAGTGGGAGCTGTTGGTCCAAGTGTAGCCTGAGCAGATCCAAGCCATATATATAAGTGCACGTGGGCGTCTCCCCCACACCTTCTGTGCGGAATGGGCAGCTCACTCTGGAGCTCGCATATCTGCACTTGGCAGATCTTGAGGTTGTTCTACATCGGTACATAAAGTACATAAAGATTCAGTCGCCCCACACATACACACCAAGTCTTATTTTTATCAGCCATGAAAAAGAAAGTTCTTGCTTTCCAGAAGTTTGCATCCAGCTCCGAGGCCAGGCACCAGATGGTGCCGGTGCCTCTTGAGGGGCTGCTGCATGGCCCTGCAGTTAGGAGAGGCAGGGCTGGTGGGCATGGAGTGGGGTGGGTCAGGCCCAGGAGAGGAGGTGGGAGTGGACACTGCTGAGAATACACAGTGGTGTAAGTGCTGGAGGAAAGAAAAGCTCTTGTTTTGGGTTTATTTTTGTGTTGGGAATTGAGCCCAGGGCCTTTGCACCTGGCCCTTTTTAAAAGTTAATTTTTGAGACCGAATCAGTAAGTTTCCTAGGCTGAGCTCAATGACCTTTCTGCCTCAGCCTCCCTAAGTGCTGAAATTACAGGTGTGTGCTATCACGTCTGGCTGAGGAGATGATGCTTTGGGATGCTGCTAGGGTGAACCGGTAGTGGCATGTTTTGAGCGGTGTTCCAGGCAGCAAGAATAAGCAAGTGGAAGGTCAGGTGACTACTGAACCAGCCAGGTCATGCACCACACCTTTTTCTGTGTCACTTTTAGTTATCTTAATAAAATGAAAATAGATGAATACATACCATCTATATGCATATATTTATTGCATTTAAATTTGTTACATAAAATGATTTCTATATTTGTGTAAAAATATGTGCCACACCTTTTAATCAGACATTGAATGTTACACCTGAAGGTAAAGGTGCTGTCACCCCCAAAATGCAGCCAAGAAAAGTGTGCACAGTAATTTGACAGAGGTCTGACCTGAGAGCTGTGCTTTGTAATTACTATTTTTTATCAGGAAAATGCTTAGGTGGGAACACACCTAAGGCAGCTGGCCTGAACTTTTTAAATCTCAGCTTTATTTACAGGCCGGGCTATTTGGTGGTTTTGAGACCTTCCCTTCCACCAGCCGAAACCGATGCATTGGTGGTTGCGTCTTCCCTGTGCTGGCAAACTTCGTCTAGGTTTGTCTGAAAGGAATCTACATGTTCTTTAGTCTTTTTTTTTTGACTTGTCTCGCTCTGTAGTCCAGGCTGGCCTCACTGACAGCAGGTTATCTTCCTGGCTTGGCCTCCCAATTGCTTGGATAGCAGGTGTGTGCCACCATGCCTTCTTGATGATAAAGGTTTTTTTCTCAAAGCGGGGTATAGTGGCACACACTTGTAATCCCTAGCACTGGGGAGGCTGAGGCAGGAGAGTTCCAGGCCAGCCTGAACTACATGGATAGCTCCTCAGAAAAAAATCGTTGATTTTAATAAATGAGAGGGGTTACAGATCTTTGTTAAAAATCCAAGCAGTGTAAGTAGATACTCTGTGCTGAGTGGAGCCCTCTCCCCTCACAGTGGGACTTGGTGACTCGCTTTGCCTGGGAACATCCTGGCCCATGCTCCCCTAACCAAGTGGGCCCTGTCGCATCACAGCAGCCCTGTGGTTTGACGTGGGAGGTTCTCCCTGAAGACCCATAATCCACGGAGAAGGCATTCTAACGGGCTGGGGATTCAGCTCAGTGGCACAACAGCTTCCCTTGCAAGCGCAAGGTCCTAAATTTGATCCCCAGGTAACCCCCCCAGCAAGGATAATTAGAAGACATTCTAGAAAATACTCCTTAGAATTGTCAAAAAGGCAAGAACGTGTTCGTTCACTATGAAAGTGAAGGACCAGGGCCAGAAGCGGTTAAGCGCCCGTGTTCCTTTGGATGAGCGCACCGCAGTGGTGGGTGGGTGGTAGGAGGGGAGTGCATGCGTGGCCCATGGGAACACCATAGTCTGCAACTGTTCGCTACATCTAAAGTTACTCAGGGCTGGGATTTAGCTCTGGTTCCATCGCCTGCATTGCAAGCGCAAGGCCCCGAGTTCGATCCCTGGTACCAAAAAATAAGTAAATAATAAAAAATGAAATGATTCCGAGCTAGACATGGCCCACACCTGTAATGCCAGCAGTTGGAGGATTGCAAGTTTTAGCACAGCCTGCACTACGTAGCAAGACCCTATGCCAAGAGACAAAAAAGAATTAAGATTGAATTTTGGAGAAGGGTAAGGGGTGCTTTTCATGCTGTCTGTCTGGCAGGACGGGAGCACAGGCCCTTAAGTAGGGACATGCCTCGCTCAAAATGCTCATTCTGCAGCTTTGGGTGAAACTTACCTCTCAGCCAGGATTACAGCATGTGCCACCATGACTGGTGGCTGCTGCTGTTCTTAAACTTCCTCCAGACAGCATTAAGGCCAGGTAGGGAAATGTGGGAGGTTGCTAGAGCACGCTTGTTATTTCCTGTGCCAGGGCACTGGGGTATTGTGACTTGTACTGTGGTTTCCTGGTCTTTGAAAGCAGGTATTTTCAGGGTTTTGTTTGCAAGGAGAGCCAGGCTGTGTGGCTCAGCTTGGAACCGAGCAGCCTGTGGCCCCTGAGGCAGGCAGGACCTTGGATACCTAGCCTGGGCAGAGATCCCGATGCAGATGGCTGTCACTGCAGCCCCACCAGGCTGTCCTCCCCTCCCCACCTCCCCCAGCTCCCTCAGCTGAGCCCCAGACCCCTGCCTGTCCCCAGATCACACTGTGGCTGTGGTCTAACCCTCACTGTTTTGGAGCTCTTGCCGAAGAGAGCAGGGAATAGGATGACAGCGGCTTGCTGTTCCCTCCGCTTAACACCCTCTCACCTGTTGAGAGACACACCTCGGGCCAGGTCCCACTGCCCTCTTCACTGCCCAGACAAACCTACTTCCTCAGTCCCTCTTAACGCTGAGTCGGGAGCACTTCTACATAATTTGGGGGAACATTTTGGTTAGGCCTCGCTCTGTCCATTTCGAGACAACTCCATTTTGGCCCCTGGCTACGACTAAGACCTCAATGGTCGGGTGATGCTGTGCTGCTCCAGGACGGGACATCCTGGGAGGAACAAACTCTTCGTCTGCGTAGCTCCTCAGTGTTCTAGGATTTCGGCTGCCCCCTGAGTGATGTTACTTTTGTTTCTCCAGATTGTGACAAGCTCGGGGGCTTTCATCTTCGCTGCCTGATCAGGCCCAAAGCTCAGCTTTAAGTCTCATTTTTCCTATCTTTTCTGTCTAATACATTAATTTGCCTGTGCTACTGTGGCTCGCAGGAGACTAGGACTTCACTGCAGCAGTTCTAGTAACATTCCTTTCCCTGTTCCCTGCAGTGCTGCAGCCTCTAATACCCAGGCGCCCTCAGCCTGGCTCGCTCAGCATCTGCTCTGCCTGGCCTCACTGTCTCCTGCCCGGTGTGCGAGCCGTTAGCTCTTCAGCGCTCACGGTTTGCTTCCTGGTGCCTCACAAGGTGCCCTCCCCCGGCTTTCCGTGGCACCTCTCCCCACATGGCATCGCTGTGCGCCTTCTCGTGGCAGCCTCTAGGGACTGAACCTTGCTCCACCACCAGCACCGTCTCGGCACAGATGAGGCCCAGGAAGGTTGTGGGTGTCACTAAAGAGTGGATAAACGTACTTCCTTCCCCCTTCCGTAGTTCAGCCAAGTAGGGGTTTTGAAGGACTTTTCTAGACCCTGAGTAAATTAAACATGCATTCCAGGGCTCCAAAGAAGCAAAGGGAGTCCCCAAATGCTTTGAAGAAAGGGGAAGGCGTAAGGACGTGAAGATGAAATGGATTAGAGGCCGGGGATTTGGCTCGGTGGCACCGCCGCCTGCCTCGCAAGCTCTAGGGCCCGATTTCGATCCCAGGTACCAAAAAAGGAAAAAAAGATGAGATGGATTAGAAAAGAGAAAGCAGCAGAGAGAGTGCTGGCTGGGGCAGCTCTGAGCAAACAGAGGGTCAGTGGCAAGGAGGTCAGCCTGAGGCTCGCTCTGCCCGCCCCAAGCCCATGCTGGGAGCTGAACTTGACGTTCACAGTAAGCCAGAAACAAGATTTCTGCCTGAGCTCGTGGCAGAAGCAAAAGCACATCTCTGCTGTGAAGGCTGCCTACAGTTGAAGCCCTTGGGTGTCCCAGATTAGATAAAATATGAGCCCACAATAAAGAGATCACACTTGGGTGTGGGGACACGCCTGTAATCCCAGTATTCTGGGAGAGGAGGCAGGAGGTGCTGAATTTAATTCCCTGTATTGGAGAAAAAAATCAGTACACATGAAAATAAGGCACCAGAACAAGAGACAACAGAAAAATAAAAGATACCCCCGAAGACTTCAGATATTAGCGTCAGAATATAAGATAATTATACATGAGATATTTGAAGAGATGCACAACAGAACAAAAAGGGCAACCGTGTAGGTAATAATTGGGCATATTTGGGGCGGGGGTTGAGACAGGGTCTCACTATGTAGCCCATGCTGGTCTTGAACTCACAGCGATCCTCCTGCCTCAGCCTCCTGAGTGCTGGGATTATAGGTGTGCAACACCATGCCCGACAATCAGGTACGTTTTAAATGAACCAATACAAATTCTCAGTTCTCAGTCTCAGTGCAGGTTCAAGGAAGTCTTTCGCACGGTGTGGCTTCCAGGGAACATTAATGACCTTAAATGGCCCAAGAAGTTTGAGGGACTCAAATAGGTACAGGTCTATGGGGAAAGAGGCAGGACT